TTTTTTTTCCCTTACCATATGTTTTATAATAATAAAGATAAAGCTTGAGCCAAGAATTGTGGATTCAACAAACACTTTTCTTTTTCACACCAAGATAAAAATAAACGACTGTATATTGTAGCTAGTGTATCAGTCATTTATAATGAAGTTAAATAGTAATTATTTAAATAAGAACAATCCCCAGCAAAATTCTGAGTCCAAACTAACTTTCACCTATACTTTGGCTTCTAAATTATCACTCACTTCTCTAGTTTCCCACAGTCATAGTGTTCTAAAGAAGTAAGAAGAATTTAATTATTAGCCCAAGGGAAACATACAATGGAGAAAAACACAAACATACAATGCAGTCCATGGATTTTTGGATGATCTCTTTTGTTGGTATAGATCAGATCACCGGCTCTTAACCCAGGCTTCACCCCCACCAGAACACCCAATATAATTAGTCTGAGGTGGGGGCCATGTATGTTTTTTCAAAGCTTACCAGGTGAATCTAACTAATACGAGCCAAGGTAAAGAGGTACTATTGTATATGATACTGAGATGATTTATATCAGTAAGTGAGCACTTAAAGTATGCATTATAATATTTAACAATTAACCAGTAAGTCTTGGTTAATGTTTCATCTGTGGGAAAATAAGTTATGACTAAGATAAAGTTTGACTTATTAAAGAAACCCCCCCAAAATCTGTTAAATTTATGACATAATTATAAAATATTAGCCCAAATAAAATATTTATATAACCACATAGCCATGAATTCTTCACAGAAGGTACATGTTCACTCATTAGTTGAAAATAATGATCAGGTAAGAAGAATCTTTTTCACACACAATGATTAATACATACTTTTTACAATGAAGTTCTGTACAGAAATAGATTTGGAAATCATCAGAATTGTGGAGCACATAAAGAAAGCAGCATCTTTCTTCAAATTTAGAAATACTGAAACAAACAAACAAAAAACCATTATTCAGAGACCTATCAATTCTTCTATGGTCCTATGATGAAAAAGAAGTAAGTTTTAAATTCAATCCCATTTATATCTATGTTGTTTATAACAAGCAGTTATAAATAGCACTTTAAAAAGTGACATTTCCTGCACCACACTACTAAAATTATTTACTCTTCTGAGAGGTGTCCTCCTCCTCATGTCTGCAGAGGAGGTCTGCTCTAGGGTGTTGTAAGCACACGTAAACTACACATCCTTTCAACAGAGCAGGGAAAGGCGTCCTGCCTACTACAGTATTCTGTGTGCTGGGAGGAAAAGCATAAATATCAACTGGCTGGCCGACCTCAGTGATTCTGGTGCTATGCAATCTGTAGAACAATGAAATGTTTCTGAAGCTAGGCAGGCAATTTGTGGAGGCAGTAAAAGCACCTCATTCGTTATAGAGATTTTAGAGGAGTGAAGCAATGCACAAGTGCGCTTGGTTAGGACTCAGTGAGTGGCTGACTTTATGGCACCACAAAACAGTTTTGAGTCAGCCCACTAGGCCATGCTGTTTTATGCCAGAGATTGGCAACCATTTTCTGTAACAGGCCAGATAGTAAAATACTCTAGGTTTTGCAGGCCAAACTATGTAATTCTGCTGCTGAAGCATAAAAGCTGCCTAAGAGGATGCATAAATGAATGAACATGGCTGTGTTCCAATAAAACTTTATTTACAAGACAGGTGGGTGACCAGATGTAGTCCATGGGGCATAGTTTGTCAACCCTTATTTTATGCCTTTGTGCCTGCTGTTCCTTCCATTTGGAATGCATGTCGTCTTTTACTTTTAAAAGAAAACTCTATTCACGATTTAAGGCCCAGCTTAGACCTTACCTTCTCTCCCTGCCCTACTTCTGCCCTAAACAGAAAGACTTCCTTTTACACCTGTGTTTCTGAGTTTACTTCTTTCATTGCTCTTCTCACACTGTTTTGTCATGAGTTGTTAAACGTCTGTTCCTCTCCCTGCTGGGCTGTGAGTTCTTCAACAGAGGAGTTGATGTCTTAGTCATTTTTGTATATTTGGCAGAACAGGACTCAACATTTGACACGCAGCTCGTGCTCAGTTAATGCCCACTAACTCGAGCTGTGCAAGTTCTGAGGTGACACAAGGCAAGCTGCTGACCTAGTTGGATTTTCTTCCATAGTTTGTCATCTCTTCTTTATGGAGGAGGAGGCCAGGAAAAATGAGCTCTCTTTGAAGTCACAGACTACAACTCAAGTTTCTCAGCATATAAGCCAGCAATAGTCAGATACTAGCAGCCTATGTCTAAGTCATAAATCACAACAACTGTTACACAGGGCTACCACACCTAATTAAAGAAAATGTATTCACTGGAAAACAGATATGATAAAGTGAAATTTACATTTACCATACTTTCTTAAGTGGATTGCTTAAAAATGCAGCAATAAATAGTGAGTGCCTTGTTAGACTGGCTTTAAAAATTAAATATTAAGAGTACAGCTTTATTTGAGAAAGTATCGACCAAAAGATATATAATGAGTCAGTCCATCATCTTGCTTCTTTCTGTTCAGATCATTCATGAGGTAACAGGTAGCTTTACCAGGAGAACTCTAATTATTAGTGACTCAGACCGCTGTACCAATTTATGCTCTAATAAAACCAATTATTATTATTCCAAAAGCAACAGGATATTGCATAACCAGGCTGCAAAAATCTGTTGTCTCTCATTGCTATGACGTGGGGGTAAACAGTAGTAAGCACATCTAACTTGGTCTGAAATTTGCAAGAGTTGATTCAGCATGAGCTTCAATAGAACAATTATTTAAAGACTTAACCACTGACTCTTGATTCTTAAAAAAAATCTTATTTCTAAATCCCAAGAAATGGCATTTTCTGAGCTACTGGCATTGGGACAGCAGTCAGAACTGAACCAAACTAAACTTCACCACTGTAATCTCAAGATCAGTGCAGGAAAGTGACCTCATGGAAAGTTTTTTGTTTTTTTTTAAATGGACTCCTT